AAGGCTCCAGATAGGTCTTGTGTTCCCAGCCCCAGCCCCTCTGAATGGTAGCCCCATTCTCATGCATATCAACAACCCCAATTTGGTATCATCTGCAAGCGTAAGAGCACACTCTATCACTTCCTCAAGATGAACCCCTACAGTACCACACTTGTTACCAACTCCCTATATGACACATTAACCACTACTTTCTGAGTCCAACCATCCAGCCAGTCTTTTGTTCACCTAGCTCTCCATCCACACAGACTAATAATCAAATCTGGACACAAGAGTATTGTGGGAGACAGAGCTGACAGCCTTACAAGTTAAATGAAACCCACTGCTCTTCCCTCATCTGCAACTTCAGCCGTCTTACGTGGAAGGCAATCAGGCTAGTCACGCATGATTTACCTTTGATAAATCCATGCCGATTGTTCCCAATCATTTCCTTCTTCTTGTGCCCAGAAATGCGTTCCAAGAACACCAATGACCTATTTTCCCAGGGACAAGAAGGAAACTAGCCAGCTCTGTAGTAACTTGGCCTGTGTTTTGGCCTTTTCTGAAGGGTGCAATGTATGCCTTTCTTCAGTCATCAGGAAGCTCTCCTGGTAACGAGTACGTTTCAAAGATGATGGGGAGGGACCTCCTTGTGACTCTGGCCAGCTCCTCCAACATCTCAGTCCATTTGGCTCCATTGTCTTGTATGATTTGAGTTCTCTCGATAATCCCTGACTTAAACATTCCTACATGAAGGGATGCAAAAATTGTTTCTTCTAATACTTCAGTAGTAAAATGTGTTCCTGCCCATGCCAGGGGGGTGGGATCTAGATGATCTTTAAGGTCCCTTTCAATCCACACCGTTCTATCATTCTGTGATGGTTCTATGAATCTCCCCGCACAGCCATTCTGGATCTCAGATAAGAAGCCCTTTAGCAAGAAATTAAGTGTTTACAGTAGGACGATAGGATTGTGATAAAAATTTCAGAATAGGGCAAAACACGTAGGGACAAGAAGATATTTAAGTAGATATCACAGAAGGAATAAGCAGAAAAAAAATCAGCTTTCACCGGAACATGCTTATTCCCAGAGCCTGGAATGGAACCCAAGATTCCGGAGTTTCATCACTATTTTTAAATGCTTAAAAATCACAGAAAACCAGTCACAGGCCGTATCATTTGGACCACACATTAATTAAAAATTACTAGTGTCACATTCTCTGCTAGCTCAAGTGGCAGAAGTCTCATGGCAAAAGGCACAGATTTCAGCCTTTCTGAAGACCTACACGCTATAATGCAATCCCACATGATAGAAGGTTTCCTCCTGTCCATCAGGGTTGCTGCCATTTTTAATCTAGCATGTTGAACATCTTGTTTATATGCAATGAACTTTATTTTCAACAGCTAAGTACCTAAAAGCTCTCAGTTTACAAAAAAACCAAAACATATTATAGTCACATCACAACAATCAAAAGCTATTTGATCTTGTTCTATGTGCCCCTGTGTACAAGGCATTCTTGCTGTATTACTGAACAAGATGTAAAAAAAAACACTAAATAAAACTATCTTACAAAAGGAACTTGCCACACGCATTGCAAATGTTGGTCAATGTACTTTTAATAATATAGGTATTGCAGGAAAAGAGAAGGAATTAATACTGTCCTGGAGAAACTGATTTTCCTCTTGCTCCTTGCAAGCAAGTTATCTTAAAAGAAGTAAAAAAGAACCAGCTTTCAACGGGAGATCCACCACTCTTCATCAACATTTTGGACTAGTACCTGGGGGTTAACACTGCAGCAGATCTCAGTATTTATACTTGCAGTCTAAATCAACAGTCATCCAACAATAAATCAAGCAGTGAGGTCTTTTCTAGCATATGCATTCAAGGATCCCTGTTAAGGGATCCATAAAAACAATGAAGAAAAGCCAGGTTATTGTTAGTTAATCCCACAGGGAGACAGATCTTTGTGAGAAAACATTCTAGAACATGCAAATAATTAACACATTGCTAGATTATTTTGAAAAATCATATCATAAAGGCATTAAATGGGATATTCAACATGAAGGGACACATAACACATCTCCAGAGACCTCTGTGAAAGTACTACTAGTGAAACATGCAGGCGCTAGAGACTGAAAGCAATGAAACAGCAAAAGAGGAAATTAAGAAGGTACAGTATGAACAGCACATAACAAATAGTAACGCTCCATGTTATCTGATACCAAGAAAAAAAAATTCAGTATTGCTCACTGAACACAATCCATGCCATCCTATGCTACACGCTGAAAGTAACATTGCAGGAAAAAAAGTAACATTTAGCCATATGTTTACAGGCCAAATGACACTTCTTACAAGAGTCCCTAATCCTGGCATTTCATGATTTAGGAGAGCTTGCTCTTCCAACTTCAAAGTTCTTTGAAGGTAGTTTTTGTTGCGTAATAGCAAACCATACAAGCAATTTCCCTAAAAAACACCCACTTCAGTTGCAGATTATGTTCATCACATAAGAGATGCATATTAATGCAATCGTACATAGCATGCATCATACACATTTGTTTTCCTGATTGTATTAGAAGCATATTCCATGACCAAACAGCAAGCTTTCAAATGAGACTAGATAAAAATCCAGCCGCGTTTTGCTTTGACACTAGCTCCCCCTCTAGACCAGCCTAAGATTATAGTAATTACTTTTTTATTTTAAATTCTGACTCTGCAACAATATTTACTCGGGTCCCAATCTTCTTCATCTTTATCCCCTTAAATGTCAATGAACAGACTGATCACATAATTTATATATAAAATAGTCATTTATTATTTTTTTCCTGTACATAAATACCCAGGCTTGGGAAAATCATTTGGTTTAGAACAGATCTGACAGATAAAGCAGCAATTCTGTACAGCTACAGAGAGACAGGAAAGCACCAAAACTACATTTTTTCATATTAATCCTCTGAATGCTTTGCAACATTTGTAGTACATAAACATTCCATTATACAATCAAGCCTCTGTTTGCAGTCCCAATGAAGTGATCATAAACCACAGATACCAAAACAAAACGAAGACCCTATGTGGTTTAGTAGTACCTTTACTAATTCACTTAAGGTGAATTGGCTCCATTCCTACTCCAGCAAGTACAGCTCACATTTTTCTGCAACAAAGATCTTTTCAGTTGCTCAGGTAATGAAACAAAGACACAAGAGTGAAAGACCAAGAAAGCTACAAGCTCCAATCTGACCCTCTGCATTTCCCAGTTGTCAAATGCCCTGGCACCTACAACACTGAATGAGTGAATTTGCATGATTCAACACTTCAGGTTGATTTCTACCCTCCTCTCATTATTAATTATTCACATTTTCTGAGCAAGCAGTTTAATTATACTTCCAACACTGAAGAAAGATGGTCTCATTATGTGTTGTTGGGAAAATATGTAAACTTTGAAATACACCGATCTATCAGTATAAGGTACATACACATATGAATCACTAACAAGTACCAGTAAGTATTTGGCAGTAAGCATACCCGTAATAACCAGCAAAACAGATATTACTGGAACTACATCAAAGCACAGTCACCAAATCCTAACAACCAGCTTTCTTTAATAATGGAAGGAATTGTAACAGAGCCTTTTGTAAAACCACTCCAAGCAGAAGCAGCACAGGCAGTTGGCCGGTTCTTTGCTTTTGCAGTTCAGACTTTTCTCAAGTTTTGGACCATTTACAGTGGAGAATGATTAGGAAAAAAAAAGATTAATACTCTAAAATAAAAAAACTGTTCATGCTTAAACACTCTTTCTGTAGTATTTACTCCACTAGCTTTCAGTTAATGCCCAGACATTAACATACTAGCATATTTTAGCATAAAGGGAGTAGATATATAAACGTACACGTGCATAGTGAAACACAGACATTCCAGCTGATGTGTAAGTTTCAGTATACACACAAAAAGGCCCTAAGTGTTAATACAAGATCTCAAAGTGAAGAATGCTCTGAACACATGGTTGTTTCCCACATCCAGGGGCTCACAGTGTACCATGCGTGCCTTGAGGACACAAGGACAGCAGGTACTGCTCCCAGAAACTTGCAGCCTCTCAAGAAGCAATTTTTCAGCTGATGTCTATGCCCACAGGCTTTTTAGAACAACCTGCACTACGGCATGACAGTCTCTACCTACTCTTGCACCCTCAATCACAAGCTTCTGAAAGCACAGGGCACAGCCAGGTCTTTGGAGAGCGCCTAGAACACAGCAGGGACACGCTGTGTGGAAGACCTGACATTAAGCACAAACTTGACTGCAGGAAAAATCTCCGGAGCCTTATCAGTGACAAGTAACAAGAATCCAAGACCAAAGCAGTTAAATCTGCCGAAATACGGTAAAGGTGGCCGTGGGAAGAGCCCCAGGCAGCACCCGATGGCTCTGCACCCTTGCAAGACAAGCACTTCCTCAAGCTCCCAGGCGGCCCGAGGGCGTAAGGTCCGTCCATCAAGCCCACGTTTCCCGTGTGCCTCTCCCTGCCAAACCCGGGCGTCCCCTCGGGCGGCCGCAGTTCCCGGGACAAGCAAAGTTGGAGGCCGCCCCCCGCGGCCGCGCTCTCAGTCGCAGGACCCCCGCTGCCCGCGCCGCTCCCGGGGCAACGCCGCTGCCCGGGGCTCTCTCGCACGCAGCAACCTCCTGGGCCCGGCCCGGCCCCGCTGCCCACGGTGATGCCCCAGCCGCCCGCCGAGTCCCGGCCTCCCGCTTCCCCCGCCAGGCGTAGAGCCGCCGCCGCGCTCCCCGGCCCCACCAGCGCCCCTCCGCCGGGAGTAGCCCACGGGGACCCCGGCACACAGCGGGGGACCGGCGGCTTCCCCGCCACCATCACCCCGGCGGCGGCAGCGGTTGCTGAGCAGCGCCGGAGTCGCAACAGCGGCGGCGCCAGGCCCGGGAGAAGGGATGGGGAGCGGCGGCTTGGAGCAGCCCGGTCTCGGCTCCGTACCCGCTCCCCCGCCGCCGCGGCTCCCGCTCAGCCGCCCGCATCACCCCCTTACCCGAGTGCCGCTGGCGGGGCCCGCGCTGCCTTCGCCGAGGGTGCGGGGAGAGGCCGTGGCGAGCTGCGGGGTGCGGCGGGGGGGGGGGGGTGTAGGAAGGATCGCGGGGGGCACCCCGCGGTGAGGAGACGGAAACGGGAACCGGCGGCCGCGGAACGGAGCCGCCGCCGGACTGTGAAGAGACCGGGCGCGAGACGCGGTACGGAGCGAGGAGGAGACGCGGGCGGCGAGCGCGCGCGCGAGGCGAGGCGAGGGCGGGGAGCGCAGCGAGCGAGCGGCGCTGACAGACACCAAACCGACGGCGCTCCCGTGCGCGCTCCCGTGCGCGTCCCCGCGGCCCGGGGCGCACTCGGAAGAGCGGCGCCCGCCCGGGAGCGCGCCTGCCGGGGTAAACCGGCCTATGGGAGAGCCCGGTGCTGCCGGCGGCGTGCTCGCGTCACAGAGGGATGGAGCGCGCGCGGCGCGCAGGCGCGGCGGGGACGTTGCCACCCTCGCCGTCCCCGCGCGACCGCGCGCCGAGGCTGGGGCATCGGTGCTGTTGTCGCCCCTTTCCTTGCGTGGCCGTCACCCCGCGGCCGGCCTCCCTCCTGTGGCGGGGTCCGGGAAGGTGAGGAACCGGGCTGCAGGGCAGTCCTTAACCGGCGCTCAGGCCCGCCGGGGAGACGTCTCCCCCAGCAGGGTCGGAGGGGGGGAAGATCCCGGTACCGGTGCGGCCGCAGCAGCCGGGCAGAGCGCGGAGAGAGCCGTGGGAGCTCGGAGGCGCTGCAGGAGCTCCCGCCGGGGCTGCTGTCTGCAACAGGCACTTGTTGTCTGGCTGCAGTGCTGTGGCATCTTGCCCAAGGATGAAGCTCAGCGCGGTTTGGTTATTGGGGTTGACATAATGATCCCCACAAAGGGCAGGAATCTGACAGGGTTTTGTGTTAAGAGAGTAGAAGTGCTCCGTGTGTGCTGGGTCAGGGCAGGACACGGGGAAGGCCTGCTTTGCCTTGCTGACTGTGGCTTTAGCATGTTCTGCTTCTGTGGGGCATCAAAACGCATCCCTAAAGTACACATAAACACGTGAGCTCAGGGAGATGTAGGATTTCAGAGCGTTTAAGGGAGCTGTGATTTCCTAAGCATTCACATGGGAAAGCTGAACACGTCTTCAAAGTTTATAATATGCCCAGGGAGTGTTTTTGTGTTCTTGGGAGATTCAGTGGCCACGATGGGAAGGCAGCAAGTGCAGTGGGAATCACAGTAGGAGTAAGCTGTGATTTGTGTAAAAGGCAGAGCTGGTAAGGATAGATTTTTTTGTAACCATCACATCGTTTTCACACCCTCTCCCAGTGTTAGAATTCTGAGATAGGCTGTCCTGCAGCATATCAGTGCTCTGCCATGTACTTGTTCACACTTATCTTCTCCAGCTTGTTCCACAAACCCTGGTGGTTTTTTTTTCTCTCTTTTCTTTTTTCCTTCCCAGAAATAGTAAACATTTACAAATGTTCTTATAAGGTCTATGGAAGTGTCTCTTGTTTTTCCTCTTTTGACATCAAACATTATGGGTCAGCTGCCTGCTAACACAGAGTTTAGGGCACTGCTGCTGCAAAGCACTGTCTAGGGGACACAGAGTTACAATATTCTGTGCCCATAGCAACCTTCCAGAGAGATCTGGAAACGCAAACATAATTAATATATCTGTTTTCCCTAAGGTTTTAATTTCCAGCTGACAGCACTAGAGATTAGTTTACAAATTGAAATCGTAAGCACATTGCCAGTGGCTGCCAGGTATTGAGTTGCTGCTGCTAGCCACTATTACTGTGGTAGTTATAAGTATTACTAATAATTATATTATGATAATGCCTACAAACTTAGCCAGGGATCTGTTTTCCAAAGTGTATTGGGTTAGGTACAATGTTGACACTGGTAAAAGAACAAAATTATTGTTTCAAAAGAACTCAGATACATTTTCCATTTGTGATGGAGATTCCCTAGGGAACTATTGCTAAGGCATGCATAAGAAAAACTAAACTATCATTAATAATCTTACACTTGGTATCCTACCATCCCTTCATAAAGAAAAATCATCCCAAAACAAACCCAAAAACCAGTGCTACAAATCCAAACATTTGAAAAGTTTAAATACATGCAAAAAAGGCCAAAAGTGCATGAAGTGCAGGTACGGGAAGGAAACTTCCATCCATGGAAACATTCAAGGTTGGACAGGACTCTGAGCAACCTGATCTAGTGGAATTTTTCCCTACTCATTGCAGAGCGTTGGACTTGACCTTTAAAAGACTCTTCCAACCCAAACCATTCTATGATTCTAAGCTGCTTCAAGATGATCCAGAAACTAAGGCACAGTTTCCCAAATGACAAGGGCAACTGCATGTTGCGTTTGCTTGGAGGATCTCATGTAAAGAAAGATTCCAAAAGAAAATAAAATTGTCCAGGGAACTTCTCCTGATAGGTCTTCCCTGTCTAGTGAGAAAATAAAGTTTTATAGACATAAATCCAGCTACTGACCTACAAAATATCAGGGTACTTCCAATACAAACAGTTCTGAGATACTGTGTCCACAAACTGAACAAAAAGCAGGGCTTAAATAAATGAGCTGTTTCATTAATATGCATGTGGTGATTTCAGTTGTACTTACTATGGTGTGAAATTAAATTCATTTCAAGTGATTGCTTAATGCAATGAGCGTGCTACTGCTGGCTTATTTGCTTTCAAGTCCATGATACTCTCTGCTTTAGGCATATTATCCTAAATCAAGGAGAACAATATAGTACTAGGACTGACCCAGTATCCACTGGAGATACCAATGGATGAAATGCGATCCATCTGCACATCACTTGTACAGTTACGGATTATTTTTATTTGTATTCTAGTTCTGACTGTGTTATAGTAGTACCTGCTATTGGCCTTATTTTTTTTTGAGGATCTGGTGGCCTGAGCAGTGCTAAACCATGATAGAATGGGAGTAAGAAAATTAAATGACTAGTGTGAGAGATGAAAAGCTACTGAGGGGAGTGCTCTTACAGAGTGCTAACTTTTTCTGCATGCTAAATACAGCAGGTGTGTACCTTTAGAAGTAGATTTCCCAAACCAAACTAAAAGGCCAGTAGCTAATTCCACCTCAGAAAGCTCATTTTTAAGTGTAGAACCTCACTTGTGACTCCAACAACTCCTTCATCAGGTGACCAAAGGTCAGAGCCTTGGTCTGTGGATGCTCTAAGACCACTGGGAAGGGAAATTTACACTAGACCATGGGACACTCACTCCTATGATTAGGAAACAAATTATGTTAAAGAATTCTGCAGTTTTAAGGTGGAGTCTTCTAGTTCTAGTTGTCCAGTGTGCGTTTTCTCATGCTTAATCTCACAACCCTAATGAATCGCTTTTAACTGATACAGACCAGTCTGTTGAAGTCAGGTAATCCTTTCCATTTGGCAAGGAGGTGGTAGCACTTTTACATAGCAGGTGGAATCTCAGCAGGGCAACTCTAGTTGCGCTTTAATGAGACATCCTGCCACCTGTCTCAGAAGTTACTCTAAGCATCAAAATGAGTTAAAATGAAAAGTAAAGGTATTTTAACTCTGCCCCCAAATACATGAGCGCATACTGGAGTCCGCATTTAACCCTCACAGGAAACAAAACTCTGCTTTGGTGACCTTTTTCTTTCTCTATGCAATGGTAGCTGTCTCCTGTTCTTCATTAGCTCCAAACCCAGTGTCATGAAGCATTCTTAATGGATGCCACCAACTCCTATAAAAATACTTCTTCATTCCAGTCAGGAAAACCGTATGCTTTTATCATCTGCAGAAACACAACCAGAACATAAGAATTAAAACATGTCATGGGGGTTAAAGGGAAATGAAGCCTTGATCAGCAGGGAAATTACAGAAACTGCCAATGTTAAATACAACTTTTTTACATATGCCAAAAATATTACTTAATATAAATTACTTAATATAAAACCAAATTTTTCAAATTCTAAAGAATGTTTTAAAGGATCCATCAGTTTTTTTCCTTTCTGGCCCTCAGAGTTTTTTCTGCTTTTTTCCACTGGTTCAGAATCTGATCTTGCATTTGTTAAGTCTCAGTTTCAGGTAAAAATTTCAGATAATTGAAATTAAAACCCAAATATGAGTCTGTAATGTTATAAGAAACTTTTTAAGACATTTTGACCAAGTCTTAAATCTGTGTCCACTAAAGAATATCACCAAAACCTGTATTTTCCTTTTTCCAGGAAATGCTATGTGTACAGGCAGTCATTGTAAGTGCAGTACAAGGTAATGGTTTCCTCTCTGTAGATAAAAGTAAAAAAACTGAATTACTGAGAGGTATTGCTTTTACAAGATGTAAGATAGCGCTTCAGCATAGCACACAGAAGCACTTGCAGCTGCAAAGCAACCCAACACACTTTTCTGGCCTGTTTATCAAAACACTTTCAGTTTCCAGCTTAAAGCAGGTGAAACCATAACAAACGTTGCACAAGGACTGTTTATCTGTATCCAAAGCATTTGAATAAAGTGTTTATATAAATCAGTGTAAACCCATTCTTCCTTGACACTTCCAGTTTTACAACGCTTCACTTTGAAATCTGACTGGGTTTGATGCGGCGTACCATTTTGATTCTGTCCACACACCGGTTTTATAGCGAGCAAAGACTTAAAGGTCGAAAGGAGTGAAGTGCAAACACTATTAAAATGAGCTGGGCAGGTCACGTAATCAAAAAATGTCATTGTGGATGTTCAATAAAAGACAGAGGTGCCTGTGGTTATGTGGAAAATATTGCTGCACAGTGGTATCTGTTCTGGGTGAATGAAGCAGGGACAGCCTCACCATCACAGCAGCAGTTACGCATCTCAGCAGAACAGAGGTGCTGCATTCCTAATAGTGGAAAGGCAGCACTGCAAATGCAAAGACAAAAGGATCCTTTCCATGCATGTAGTTTAAACTCAAGCCACAAGTAGCACAGCTGTGTAAACACAATCACTTGTCCCTGCAGATTGGTAAGTAAAATACAAATTATCCTAAAAGTATGTTTGGGATCATCCAAATCTATGCCCAGTGAAAACTGCCTCAGGATTACAATCTAACAATGCAACTTGCATTACAAGCTGCGCTAGCTGCAGTGTGGACACTGCCACCTGAAGTCGGCCAAGCACTTCCCACATTAAGATCCCATTTCAGTAGCTTCTATTGGAAATACTTGATTTAGAATCAGAGAATCATAGAATAGTTCAGGTTGGA